GTTCCAGTGCATACACAGGTATAGACATGTAAAAATTCATCAAATTGTATATTTTAACTTTTAGGTTTTTTTGAGACAAAGTCTCACTTTGTCACCCTGGGTAGAGAGCCATGGCAACATCATAGCTCACAGCAACCTCACTCTTGGGATCAAGAGTGCTTCAGCCTTGCTTCAGCCTCCTGAGTAGCTGGGACTATAGGAACCTACTACCATGGCTGGCTAGTTTTTTCCTTTTTTTTTTTTTTTTTTTAGTAGAGACAAGGTCTCACGTTTGCTCAGGCTGGTCTCAAACTCCTAAACTCAAGCAATCCACCTACCTTGGCCTCCCAGAATGCTAGGATTACAAGAGTGAGCCACCACACCCAGCCTGATATAGTTTATTATAAGTAAATTATACTCCAATAAAGATGATTTTTTAAAGGTACCATAATAAAAGTGAAAAAAAACAAGCCAAATATTAGAGAAAATATTTATATCAGATAAAATCAGTAAATGCTTGAAATCAAGAATATATAAGGACCTGTAATTAATAGAAAACTAGAATAGTTATTAACTTTATGAAAAGATGTTCAACCTCATTAGTAATCAAGAAAATGCAGAGGGATTTCACCTAACAAATGCAATCAGTATAACCTGGTTCTCTGTACCCTCAATGAATCCCCAACAATAAAAAATTTTTTTAAAAAATCACAGAGGGGAAAAAAATGCAAATTGAAACACAAATTAAACCTTTTCACATTCAACAGATTGGTAAAAGTTTTAGAGTCTAACAAAATTGAATATTGCATTTCTCTAAATCCTTACCCAACACTGCTGAGGGGAGTTATCACATTCTACAACCACTTTGATGAAGAATGCAGCAATACCTTTATATCAAAGATGGGCATTTCATACCAAGCAAAACCTAAAGTAGTTCTCCAACTATTTACCAAGGCACTTAGAAATAAAGCTGAGACCTTAACTCTGAGATGACAAGCAGAACCTTAAGAAGCCTCATCCACTGATTGCAGCCATTCAAATATTACCACTTTCTATATGGGCTATAGGTGAAAAGTGTAGGGAAGCCCTTTCTTATGTGCACATGAGGAGACATGTCCAAGAGTATCCATTACCACACTGTAATAGTGAAAAATTATAAGGAACCTAAATGTCAGATGAAGAATAGATAAATAATGGTTTTCACAGGATGAAATAAAATAATAAAGTAGGACACATTTGTTAACCTAATAATAAAAAAATCATAATGTTTTGTGAAAAAATCACATTAGTACTTTTTTATGCCGTTTATATAAAATTTTAAAAGAAGTTTCAAAGACTACTAGTTGTCTACCAAAATCTCCTTTGTTCAACAGTAAGAGTTGCAGGTGGGATGAGACTGCCCAGCTATGTTATGGATTTGTAGCTATTTACGGCCATGTGAGTAAACTCTTTTCAACAGAGTGTTAGCAAAAGTTCTAAGTGCAACATCCACTTTGGAAATCTCTTGTCCTAGGCTTACAATACCTTTGTTCCCTCCTCCCCAGGAGGGAAGCTAGTTAGATTAGCAACAACTAGAGAGAGTTTAGAAGACAGTAGGTCCCTGAATGACCACACAGAAGAGATTCACTCTCTAACCCAACCTGTATTATACAAGAAATAAATAAACATCTATATCAATTTAAGCCAACGAATTTTAGGATTTCTTTGTTATAGCCATTTAGCCTCTTAACCTAACAAATATACAAAACTATACCACATATTTTATGATTATTTTTATATTATAAAACTAAAATAGAAAATCATAGAACAATAAATCCAAAATAATCGTTTACCCTGGAGGAAGAAGAAAAGGTAATGGCATTAGTAAGAGAGAGTCAAAGGACTTCAACTATATAGTACTATTTTTTTGAGACAGAGTCTCACTCTGTCACCCTGGGAAGAGTGCCATGGTGTCATCATAGCTCACAGCAACCTCAAACTCTTGGGTTCAAGCAGTCCCTTTGCCTTAGCCTCTGGTGTAGCTGTGACTCTAAGTGCCTGCCACTACACACAGCTAATTTTTGTATTTTTAGTAAAGATGGAGTCTTCCTCTTGCTCAATCTGGTCTCAAACTCCTAAGCTCAGGAGATCTACCCATGTTGGCTTCCTAGGGCATGAGACACCATGACAGTCCAATATTTTATCGATAATCAGCACCATTTATATCACTAAAGAAGCCTTTCATCAGGCAGCACCTGTGGCTCAGTGGATAGGATGCCAGCCCCATACACCAAGGGTGGCGGGTTCAAACCCAGCCCCACCCAAACTGCAACAAAAAATAGCCAGGCATTGTGGCAGGTGCCTATGTTCCCAGCTACTTGGGAGGCTTAGGCAGGAGAATTGCCCAGGCCCAGGAGTTGGAGATTGCTGTGAGCTGTGACACCATGGCACTCTACCAAGGGGGATAGAGTGAGACTCTGTCTCTATAAAAAAAAAAGAAGACTTTCATGATACAAATAGTGCTCATTATGTTAATCTCTACATATTTTTATTTAAAATAATTCATAATAAAGAATCTAGATGAATGTACGAACAATGATATGTAATAAATTTTAAAATAACATTTACCTTATAACTTTTTAATATTATCATATCATATTATTATATGCTAAAACATATCAGCTTTATTACTTACTTTCCTGATCTTCTGCATCATTTCCTTCATACTCAACTCCCTGGATAAACTGTAATATGTTCTGCTTAAAGAACCTCTGGGCCAAGTCCAGTACATTTTCTCCATTATCATTGAAGGCTTTTAAAGCTTGTGTTGCACTGTTCATTCTACTGAATAGAAATTTAAAACAGTGAAGGTGGCCTTCCATGGCTGATAAATGAACTATAGATAAGAGAGGAAAAAAAGGTTAATTGTCAAAACCAAAATTAAAATAACTTGAAAAAAGAATTAACATATTAGCTCTAATCATCATAAGGAAATGACTCTTCCTACAGTTGATCTTAGCCAAAAGGCCGAGAACCTGGAAATGACTCTTCCTGACCCGTATAATAGGGACTTTCCCTGAGCAAGGAGAAAAGACCTTTTTCCATCCTCTATCTCTTTACCCAGTAAGTCTTCTAGTCATGCCAAAGGAATAGACTAAATGGTTAAATGGTACATTTACTGTGAGTATAGAAAGCCCAGATGAGAATCACCAAATAGCAGGCCCCCAAATATTATCTTAAAAGTGAAATCTGAATTATCTACTCTGGATTACATGAGAAAATGCTCATTATGTAAAAAAATAAAATAAAATTTAATATTGGGGAGAAAAGCATTAAGAACCAAACCAAAATAGTCACTATGAAAATATGAATGCTATTATTTTTATCATTATGATTTGTCACTTTTCTATAATAATATATTACTTTTATTATAAACAAGAATATAAACTTGGCCAGTAATAGCCGAGTTAAGATGCTAATCAAAGACACCGTTCTCTTCAAAGGAGCTTCAAAGAAAATGAAATACCTAAGAATATACCTAACGAAAGAGGTGAAGGACCTCAACAAAGAGAATTATGAAACCCTAAAAAAAGAAACAGCAAAAGACATTAACAAATGTAAGGACATACCATGCTCTTGACTGTGAAGAATCAACATCATTAAAATGTCTATACTACCCAAAGCAATCTACAGATTCAATGCAACCCCCATTAAAATACAAACATCATCCTTTGAAGAACCTGACAAAATACTCCTTTGTTTTGTATGGAACCAGAAAAAAACCTGTATAGCCGAGGACACTCTTAGCAATAAAAACAAAGCCAGAGGCTCAGCACCTGTGGCTCAAGCGGCTAAGGTGCCAGACACATACACCTAAGCTGGCAGGTTCAAATCCAGCCTGGGCCCCCCAAACAACAATGATGGCTGCAACCAAAAAACAGCCAGGTGTTGTGGCAGGCACCTGTAGTCCCAGCCACTTGGGAGGTGGAGGCAGGAGAATTGCTTGAGCC